GTGTCATAGAAGGGCTGAGGAGCAGATTTGAAATGGTGGAAGAAGGGATCAGCGGAATCGAAGACAAACACTTGGGTACAACTCCGAGGAAAAATCAGAAAAGAGAACAAAGAAAAATGAGGAGACCCTGAGAATTATGTGGGATAAAATCAAAAGCAAAAATCTGCGAGTGATCAGAGTTCCAGAACGGGAGAAAACAGAAGACAGAGAACATCATTGAAGAATTACTGACAGACAACTTCCCCAGTATCACGAAAGATGAAAAGCTGACCATCCAAGAAGCTCAACAAACCCCATATAGGATAAGCCCCAAAAGAAAATCACCAAGGCATATCATAATCACACTTGCCAAAACCAAAGACAAAGAATCTTCAGAGCAGCTTAAGAAAAACAAAAAGTCACATACAGAGGAGAAACAATAAGACTAAGCTCGGATTATTCAGCAGAAGCCATGCAGGCAAGAAGTCGATGGGACGACATACGTAAAACCTTGAAAGAAAAAAAATTGCCAGCCAAGAATAATACATCCTGCAAAACTCTCATTCAAATATGATGGTGAAATTAGGTCATTTCCAGATAAACAGAAATTAAGGGAATATGTAAAAACCAATCCAAAATTACAAGACTTATTAAAGGAAGTCCTTCTATCTGAGAACAAACAATATCAGACCACAGGCTGAATATAGGACACAGGATTGTACTAGCCAGATACCAACCTAGGAAATGAACTCGTAAGGTCTGTGCAAAACCAAAACAATTACAAAAGGGAACCAGAGAGGTTAATCTGCAAATGACAGCAGCATCAGAACAGTAAAAGAGGAAATAAACAGTGTAGATATTGAACCTTCTAATGGAGAGGAAGTCAAGCAATACCAAGTAATAACAGACTGATTCAAATCTAGGAAGATACGGGTAAATTTCAGGGTAACCACAAAGAAAGTTAACAAACCTACTGATCAAAATGAAGAAAAACAAAGTCTCAGTAAAAACAACCTATGAAAACAAAAGAAATGAAAAAAAAAAATCCACAAACAAAAGGAACTACGCACAGGAGAGTAAGAGGAACAAAACTGGAGAATGTTAAACGCTGAGTGAAATAAGTGAATCACAAAAGGACAAATATTGTATGAGACCTCTACTGTATAACTCGTGTAAAAGTTTACACAAAAAAGGAAACAATCTTTGTTGGTTACAAAGGATGAGAGGAGTGGGGTGGGGGACTAAATAGATAAGTGGTAACTTTGGTGAAGGGGTAAGACAGTACACATTACTGGGGAAGCCAGCATAACTTGTGTAAGGAAAGGTCATGGAACCTCCATAGACACTTCCAAACTCTCTGAGGGACTGAATTGCTGGGCGGAGGGCTGTGGGGACCATGGTCTTGGGGAACATCTAGCTCAATCGCATAACACAATTTATAAAGACAATGTTCTGTATTCTACCTTGGTGAGTAGCGTCTGGGGTGTTAAAAGCCTGTGAGCAGCCATCTAAAATACTCCACTGGTCTCACACCTTCGGGAGCAAGGGAGAATGAAGAGAACAAGATACAAGGGAAGGATCAGTCCAAAGGACTAAAGGACCACAGCTACCAGGGCCTCCACAAGACTGAGTCCAGTACAGCTCGATGGTGCCTGGCTACCACCAGTGACTGCTCTGACCAGGATCACAACAGAGGGTCCTGGACAGAGCTGGAGAAGAAGGTAGAACAATTCCAACTCACAAAAAAAGACCAGATTTACTGGTCTGCAGACTGGAGAAACCCCGAGAGTATGGCCCCCGGATGCCCTTTGAGCTCAATCGTGATGTCACTCCCGAAGTTCACCGTTCAGCTGGTGATTGTACAGCCTCATAAAAGAAAACGGGACTAATGAGGCACAGCAATCCAGGGACAAGGACTAGAAGGCAGGAGGGGACAGGAAAGCTGGTGATAGGGAGCCCAAGTTTGAGAAGGGACAGTCTTGACATGTCATGGTGTTGTTAACCATTGTCATAGGGCAATATGCGTGCTAACTG